GTACCATCTATATAATATTTTAGTAAAAGTCTCTAGAATATTCAGGCAGTGAATAATTTTTTTAGTCCTTACAAAAGATTTACACCAACTATTAAATGGAATAGAAATTGCTAGATCAGTTTCCCATTTAGTTAAGGCTTTGGGGATAAGTGGGGTCCCTTTCATTTTTATTAGTTCAACTGCAATAGAGAAGATCCTTTTAACGTTACACCCTGAGAAGATTTTTCTAAACAGTATTCCAAAACGGCCTTCTAAAACCAATATGTTATCTTTCAAATAGCTCTTAATACGAAGAAAGTTAAATAATTCTCTAACCAATTTTTCAAAACTTCAAAGCTTTTCAATTGTTGGTCATTATAGAGATCTTTTATCTTATGATTAGAGTCTTTATACCAATTCGTCAGGTTTATCTCTAGCATAAAACATTCTAACGACCTTAGACTCAGGTTCTCATATAGTTTTCTATTAATATTCAACTTCTTCTTTATATTGGTCCATTCTCTTAATGTCTGTAATAAAGACAAAGGAAAATGAGAACCAATCTCGCACAGATGCTTATTCTGACTTGCCTATCTCCATAAGAGGAATTCGAGATTATCTAAACCAAGTCTGGCTGCTTCAATTTTATACCAAGCTTGGTCTAGAGTCACTTAATTGTAATTTACTGGCATGAACAAGTATATTAGCCTGGTAGATTTGATTCACTAAGGGGTAACCCAACCCCCCTTGATGGGCCTTCCTTGATAGAGTGTATGTACTAATTCTTGGTCTCTTCCCTCTCCAGACATACGCTGTAATGCTATTTTGCAGCATATTCAGCCAATAGCTCGGGATCGAGAGAGGGAGCATACTAAATAAGTAAGCCCATTTAGGAATTATATAGGCTTTAATAGTATTTATCCTTCCCCACCAGGAAATTTCATGCACTCTCCATTCTTTTAATAACATGTTAGTCTCTTTTAACAGCTTCAAAAAATTGATTTCCATAGTCCGTCTTATATCTGCTGTTATAATTACCCCCAGATATATAAACTCTTTTTTTGTCCATTTAAAATCGAAATCTTTCTTTAGGGAAAGTAAATTATCTTTAGGGATATTAATCGGCATAGCTATTGTTTTATTCGTTTCAATTTATAATTTGAAACACTACTATAGTTGTTAAATTCTTGCATTAAATGAGGAAGGGAAACCAGGGGATCCGTAATAGAAATTAAGATATCGTCAGCATATAGACATATCTTCCATTCATCATGTTGGGGTCCTAATCCTTTAATCCCTACATTTTGTCTAATATTATTTGCTAGTGGTTCAATTGATAAGATGTAGAATAAAGGTGAAAGAGGACACCCCTGTCTCGTCCCATTGTTAATATAAAACCAATCTGAGCATAAATCACGGGCTACTATACGGGCAGAGGGATTTGAATATATAGCTCCCACCGCACTCAAGAACCATCCATCAAAACCGAACTGTAACAAAGTTCTCTTCAGATATCCCCATCCGACCCTGTCGAAGGCTTTTTCTGCATCCACCGACAGGGTCAGAAGGGGGGTTCCCTCAGCTTGAGCCCATTCTATAATGTCCAGAACCCTACGAGTGTTATTTGAGGAGTGTCTTCCCTGCATAAAACCTATCTGGTCCCTATGTATAAGTGATGACAAGACTATTTTCAAACGTTCCGCTAAAATTGTGGCATAAAGTTTCATATCCACATTAACCAGAGATATAGGGCGATAATTACTCACATCATCTGAACTTTTGCCCAGTTTCAAAATTGGAGTAATATGAGCCCTTAATAAATCTTGAGATGCATTCCCTTTGATTGCCAATTCATTAAAGGTGTCAGTTAACAACGGAATTAATTGTCTCTTAAATACCTTAAAAAACAAATTCTTATACCCATCCGGTCCAGGAGCTTTACTATTAACAAGCTTATCAATTGCCAATTCCACTTCATGAAAAGATATATTTCTATTAAGTTTCACCATCTGATCGTTAGATAATTTAAATAGATTAGAATTTTTTCAAGTAACTGTCCAACAAACCCTGGTCAGGAGATTTATTCAGGTTATAAAGTTTTTGATAGAACACTCTAAATTTACTGGCAATTTCTTCAGGATTATAGATGTAATTAATTCCATCTCTTAATTTAGATATCTTATGGTCAGTCATCTTTTTCTTTCATTTATTTGTTAAGACTGAGTCTACCCGGTTATTCTTGTAATAATATTTAATATTTAACTTGTTTAGATTACGTTCCACCCTATTCTTAATCTGTTCATTTATCTTTTCTTGGTAGGTTTTAATAGCTAGAGCTCTATCTACAGAGTAAACTTGTTTGTTAGCTTTAGAAAGATTATAAAATTGAATGTAAAGTTCCGACAAAATATTATCTACATTCCTTTTTTGAAAACTTGAAAGTTTTATCCAGTGTCCCCTGATGACTACTTTACACGAGGACCATAAGCATTCTTTAGATACCTCCTCAGCTGAATTCTCCTTAAAGGACCACTATAGTGCCAGGAAAACATACTCCTCCCGCCCGGCTCTGGGGAGAGGAAAGGGGTAAAAACTTACCTTTTTCCAGCGCTGGGCGGAGAGCTCTCCTCCTCCTCTCCGTCTCTGTTACGCCCCGCCGGCTGAATGCGCACGCGCGGCAAAAGCTGCGCGCATTCAGCCGGTCTCATAGGAAAGCATTCATAATGCTTTCCTATGGACGCTGGCGTGCTCTCACTGTGAAAATCACAGTGAGAAGCACGCAAGCGCCTCTAGTGGCTGTCAATGAGACAGCTACTAGAGGATTAGGGGGAAGGCTTAACCCATTCATAATTATAGCAGTTTCTCTGAAACTGCTATAATTATGAAAAAATGGGTTAACCCTAGAAGGACCTGGCACCCAGACCACTTCATTAAGCTGAAGTGGTCTGGGTGCCTAGAGTGGTCCTTTAATAAAGAAATCGATTAACTTCTCTATATGTTCTACATTTGCTTTGTTTTTTAGCAGATAGTCTGCCAATTTCCAGATCTGCGGAGATCTCTTATTAATTTCCACCAGATCTGCGATTACCATGTCATGGTCTGACCAAGTATTTTCAACTATAGAAATTAGAGAGATTGCCTGAACTAATTTTAAATTACCCAAAATCATATCTATCCGAGCAGCTGAATTGTGAAGGATAGATCTGTGCGTAAAATTTCTTTCATTGGGATGAAACAGTCTCCAAAAGTCAAACATATCCGCTTTCTTAATCACTCTACTTAACGATGCCGCCTGACTTTTAAGAGATTTAACTATCCTCTGATTTTTAGCCAATTGTTTGTCCCAAGAGGTATCAAAGATGCAATTAAAATCGCCAGCAAGAATGACTCTACCTTTTTTAACCTGTTCAACCAAACCTAAAATTTTCGTCAAAGTTTTAATTGGGTCTTTATTAGGTAAATAAACATTGACCAAAGTATAATCCAACCAGTTCATTTGACCCACTAAAATAATAAATCTCTCTTCCAGATCTAAGTAGTTATAACAGCAATCAAAGATAACTTCTCTAGAAAAAATTATAGATACACCGCATTTCTTTTTTCCTTTTAAAGAAGCAGAATAAATCACCGGGTATTTTTTATAGAACCATAATTTTCTAGCTTCCTCTAACCAGTGGGTTTCCTGAATAAACCCTATTTGGATTTTCTGATTCACCACAGTATTGAACAAGTATCCTCGTTTAAGAGGAGAGTTGAGGCCTTGGGCATTAATAGTTAGGATTGTAAACATCAGTTAATCTATATTTCTCTTTAGGGCTCCTTGACCACATCTGCAACACATATGACCAGTTAAACATACTACACACCTGACAATACAACAATAAAACAATGAAATCTACATAAACATCTGGAATACCAAAAATAATATTCCACATACTGAGAATCCCATAGACTCCCACAGGAATAAGCATGGGATCACGGACTTTCTTATAACAAGATAAAGAAAACGGAGAGGTGGAAGAAGTGAGAGGAAGAAGGAGGAAAAAAAAAATTTCTACATTAAGAATCTCGCTTCATAATTATCATCATTCAAAATAAACACCATTCAAAATAAATATCAAGTTAGAATACTCTAAATTAGTTATACCACTCCCAACATTATCACTATTCTTCCTATAGCCCATTAAGGGCCGGCGTGAATACACTCTCAACTTCTAATGTGTTAATAATAGGTATTTCTAAATAATTTATTGTTTACAGTGTTATCATCATGACCTTTACTCCCATCATACCAATATGGACTAAATCACCAAATTGTACCGATTTAGGGCATTATAAATACCCCCTTCTTTCCCAAAATTTGATCCCCCTAATAATCACATAAATATTCCAGAGATAACATCAATATATATTTTTCTTTTTTTTTTCCCTTCCCATACGTTCTTCCCGTGTCTACTCTATATTTGTTACACCATTCCTACTATTTTCCTAAAGAAATTTCTATTATCCCTAATAGGACCAGTGAGAATACACTCTCATTCTGTATAAGCAAACTAATATGGTACAAACACCAAAAATCATTACTCCGATATTACCATTATAAACTAATACCCTTATTACTCCTATTAAGAGCTTTATAAATACATTCTTAAATCTTAGGCTTATATTCACTCTTGTGCCCTTCTATGTGTTACCATGATGTCACCAAGTTACAATATTACCGCAAATTATCCCTTTAAAAGCGTTGTAAATACGCTCTTAACTCCCATAACCCCCCAAAAATAAAAAATAAATAAAAAATCTCCCAACCTCTCATCTCTTCCACCTCCCCCGCCCTCCGCTTTCCAGGCGAGAACGCGAGCACAGCAATTCGCCCACCAGACTAACTACCTAAAACTACATATCAATTTCTTTTAACCAGGCATGAGCCAGATCCACTGACTTGAAAGACTTCCATATGTCATTATAACAAATTAATAAAACTGACTGAGCGGTCCATTTAAACTTTAAATTTAATTTCTTCAGACACGGAAAACCGTGGAAAATAAATTTCTTCTTTGCCTCGTTAAGTAAGAGACGTCTGTTAACACTTTTAATGCTGTAAACTTTTCATCGTTTATCTTCGTCTTCCTCGCAGACTGGAGGATCTGAGTCCTGAGATCATATGAAACGAACGCTACAATAACATCACGTGGGTACAATTGATCTTCCTTTCTATAGGAAAGACGGTGGTACTGAGACAACTTAATATCTTGCTGTGCCGTAAGGACCCCCAGACAGTTAAAATATTTTATCAAAAAATCATATAGTTGAGCATCTAATATGTCCTCAGGAATATTTCTGAACCTTAAGTTCAACCTTCTTGATCTGTCTTCCAGCTCGCACATTTTGTCTTCCATTTCTTTCAACTTCAATTCCGTCTTGATTTGAGTGTCCTTTACTGCCTGGAGCTGAAACACAATATCTTCTTCCATTTCTTCTAATTTATGAATGCGTTCCTTTAACTCAGCTAAGTCCATCTTTATATCAGAAAATTTATCACTCAAATCTTTTTTAATATCTTTAGACAGATCTTCCAAACATTTCTTTAAAAAAGGAGTAACTACTTCTTTATCCAAAACTTTGATAGGTGAAACAAAAACCCCTGTTTGAAGCGATTCCAGAGATGATTGCTCCATACAATCATGGCCATCTTGTGGAACAAAAAAAGCCGATAATCTTTTTTTCTTGCTTTTGGCCCTTTTTATCAGCTTTTGTTGAGGCTTTACTCTCCTGTGCTTTTTTAGAAGACATATTGCTTTAAATTAGGGAGAGAGAGAGAAAAAAAAAAGATTCCCCTTTCTATCGTATATAGCCCAAATCAAACAATAAATCAGCACCAATTGTATATGTGCTAAATGACCTATATATATGCAGGTATAACGGGAAGACCAACTAGTTGCATTACATGCACTTTTGAGTCCTTAGATGGCCACATATGTTTTCTCTTCTTTTCTTTTCTCCTCCCCTCTTCCTCTTTTATGTCGCTTTTTATACTATATTCTAAATTCACAGTGTGATGGCTGCCTTTAGGTATAAGATGCCACAGAATTCACAGTGTTATAGGTGCCTTTTTGGCATACAAAGCCACAGTATTCACAGTATTATAACTGCCTTTTGTCATAAGGTGCCCCAATATTCACAGTGTTATAACTGCCTTTCAGTATAAGGTGCCACAGTATTCACAGAGTTATAAGTGCCTTTTGGTGTAAGATGCCACAATATTCACAGTGTCATAACTGCCTTTTGGCATAAGGTGCCCCAGTATTCACAGTGTTATAACTGCCTTTTGGTATAAGGTGCCACAGTATTCACAGAGTTATATGTGCCTTTTGGTGTAAGATGCCACAATATTCACAGTGTTATAACAGCCTTTTGGCATAAGATGCTGCAGTGTTCACAAAGTTATAACTGCCTTTTGGTATAAGATGCCACAATATTCACAATGTTATAACTGCACAATGTTATAACTGCCTTTTGGTATAAGGTACCACAATATTCACAGTGTTATAACTGCCTTTTAGTATAAGGTGCCACTATATTCACAGTGATATACCTTTTGGTATAAAATGCCACAGTTTTCACAGTGTTATAACTGCCTTTTGGCATAAAATGCCACAGTGTTCACAGTGTTGTAACTGCCTTTTGGTATAAGATGCCCCAGTATTCACAGTGTTATAAGTACCTTTTGGTATAAGATGCCACAGTTTTCACAGTATTACAACTGCCTTTTGGCATAAAATGCCACAGTGCTCACAGTGTTATAAGATGTGCTATAAAAAATGCCAAAAAATGATAAAGGAAAAAGGTAGCGTTCTCACACAGTCTAAAATTATACTGGATGTCCGCACTAGTTCACTTAGCTGTCGACCTGTCTAGTACCATGCTGCTGGATACTGCTGGATCGGTCGGTTAGGTAGGTATCGGCCTGCTTGGGCTCCGTGCTGGCGGGGCGGCAATGGCGCTTCTGGGCTTAGCGTCTATTTTTCTAAATACTTTCATTAGTCCCTAGCCTTATCTTACAGTTAGAATAGCCTTATGCCTATCCCACGCATGCTTAAACTCCTTTACTGTGTTAACCTCTACCACTTCAGCTGGAAGGCTATTCCATGCATCCACTACCCTCTCAGTAAAGTAATACTTCCTGATATTATTTTTAAACCTTTGTCCCTCTAATTTAAGACTATGTCCTCTTGTTGTGGTAGTTTTTCTTCTTTTAAATATAGTCTCCTCCTTTTCTGTGTTGATTCCCTTTATATATTTAAATGTTTCTATCATATCCCCCCTGTCTCGTCTTTCCTCCAAGCTACACATGTTAAGATACTTCCTACAGATGTTCGATTCGGGCTCCCAGAAATGGGAGATGAAGATGTCTATTCCAGATCAAATAAAAATGTCCCTCAATTGGTGGCTTTCTTGGGAAAACCTATCCAAAGGTTTCCCTCTGATGGAGGTGGATTGGATGATAATCACCACGGATGCCAGTCAAGATGGTTAAGGGTGCACATCTGAAAGACCACTTTGCTCAGGCACTATGGCCCCTGCACCCCCGTCATCTTCCTTCAAATATAAAGGAAGTAAGAGCAACTTTTCTAGCTCTTCTACATTTCAAGTCTCTTATTCAGGATCAATGGGTGAAGCTGAGAATAGACAACAGGGCAGCTGTAGCATACATAAACTATCAGGGAGGTACCAGGAGTTGTGCACTGATGAAGGAGATCAAGCCAATCATGATTTGGGCACAGAGGAATCTAGCCAGTCTCTCGGCCTTATATCTTCCTGGGAAGGAGAAGACGATTGCAAATTTCCTGAGCAGACATCAAGTGAAGGAGACCGATTTGGCCTTCCAACGACTGGTAATGAAGTGGGGGCTCCCAAAGGTGGATTTAATGGCCACTGCTCAGAATACTCATCTTCCATGCTTCATGTCAAGGAGATTTCACCCACTGGCATATGCTCAAGACGCCCTTTCATCAAGATGGCCGTTTCACCTGGCATATGTATTCCCTCCGATTCAGCTCATTCTGAAGAAAATCTCCAAATAGCGATGCAAGATAATAGCTATCATCCCGTTCTGGCCCTGTCGTCCATGGTTTCCCCTCTTGAAGAGTCTGTTGATAGACGAACCATGGGAAATTCCAGTCTTCTGGGATCTTCTGTCTCAAGGACCTCTAGTACACCCAGAGCCACACAAACTGTGTCTTCATGCATGGCTCTTTAAAGGCAATCCTTAAGCGAACAGGGTTTTCTGGAAGAGTTGTTTCCACCTTGCTACGTTCCAGAAAAGCTTCTACCTCCTCTACATACTATAAGACATGGGGGGCCTTCGCGGATTGGCTTCATAAAGATGTGAAGGATTTAAAGTCCCCTTCTATTTCCCAGATTTTGGGATTCTTACAGGCTGGGTTGGATAGAGGTCTAAGTCTGAACACCCTTAAGGTTCATTGTTCTGCTATTTCTGCCATGTCAGGTATCAGATGGGCTTAAAACCCCATGGTAATCCGCTTTATGAAAGCAGTTCTTAGGATTAGACCACCGATCCGGGTTTACAAGTGTCCCTGGGATTAATCTTTGGTCTTACAGGCCTTGATGGAGCAGCCTTTCGAACCGTTGGACGATACCCCTATGTTATCCCTGACTCAAAAGACTCTACTTCTATTAGCCTTAGTTTCAGCTAGAAGGATGGCGGACATAAGAGGTCTTTCGGTAGAAGAACCTTATACCACTTTCTATCATGACAGGGTCATTCTCCGTCCCAGACCAGAATTTCTACCTAAGGTGGTCTCTCCTCTTCACATAAACCAAGAAATAGTTCTTCCTGTCTACTTCCAGAATCCGTCAAACGAGATGGAAGAAAAGTTTCACATGTCTTTTGGTCTACATTCAATGTACTAAGGATTGGAGGAAGTCTCCTCAACTCTTTGTTGTCCCTTGGGGCTCCCGTAAGGGTGAAGCGGCCTCTGTTTCTACCCTCCGTTCCTGGACTGTTTCCTCTATTTCAAGAGCTTACAAGGTCTGAAGAGTCCCAGTTCCAAAAGGTATAAGGGCACACTCTACCAGATCGATTGCCAGTTCATGGGCTGCAGAGTCTGGAGTATCACCAGACAGCATTTTTGGAGCGGCTAACTGGTCTTCTATAAGGACATTTATTAGTCATTACAAACTCGATATTTCTTCGGATTCTAACCTGCAATTTGGACTTTTGGTTCTTAACTATTGTTCTTCTCAAAGCAAATAAAAATTTCTAGGCATCTATTCCCTCCCTGTGGTATTTACTGCTTGGGTATTTCCCATATGTTAAATGCTGCCATGATTAGACAGGAAAGAGGAAAATGTATTCATACTTACCGTAATTTTCTTTTCCTGGCTATTATTCATGGCAGCATTTGGGTTTCCCACCCCTTTATTAAGTCGGATCAGCTTGCTACTAGACTGAGGAATCTAGTATTCTGGGATCTCTTATACCTCAGGGATAATTGAATTCTTTAATTGGTATTCCTGTCCTATTGGGAGGAGCTAACCCATATGTTAAATGCTGCCATGAATAATAGCCAGGAAAAGAAAATTACGGTAAGTATGAATACATTTTCCTCTATATCCAGAGGCCCATACAAACCATTGTCTGGAAATCTATTCACAAACAGGACTATACATAGGACAGAAGGACACATGGTCTCACATTTAGACTGGAAGAAAGGAGATTTAGTCTATGGTAAAGGAAAAATAATTTTTACAGTAAGAACAAAAAGGATGTGGAAATTTCTGCCTGAAGGAAGTGGTTTTATCAGAGTCTGTACAGATGTTTAAACAGCAACTGGATGTATACTTGCAAAAAATACAATAATGAAGGATATAATTTTGAAATTGTGGGGTAATAGCTTCCTGATCAGAAAATACATTTTTCCTAGATCGCTGCAAAAAAATAAATAAAAAAAACAAAGTTCTTTAAACTGTGTTATTTGCTTTCTTTTGGATTAACAGTATAAAAACAGATGGGAGAAATGCTGAACTTGAGGGACACATGTCTCTTTTCGGCCTATGTAACTATGTAACTATATATAACAGGGTGTATTCCAAGGAGCCAAATTGAGGCCTGTGGGGCAGGTGCAGACCCAGCTTGTCTAGTAGAAAGGTAGCTGCCATCTTGATCGCACAACACAGACAATGCATCACCAAATTTTAAAGGAAGGCACAAAATGTGAGCAGATTTAGTAGGCCCAGAACATCCAGTGGAAACCGGGATATACCCCGCTGGTCCAGCGAGGGTAATGCAGGAGTGCAGCAGGGACGAACAGTGGACTTAAGAGCATGGAGATCCTCTGCCTCTCCTCATCTCTATCTTCAATAAGTCTCAGCAGTGTCTCGAGTACCCGGTGGATTAAAGCCTCTGTGAGGTCATCTGGCAACCCCAACCTAGTCCAACTGTGAGTATAAT